CTCTTGGGCATATATACTACTCCTGGGCATATATACTACTCCAGGGCATATATACCACTCCTGGGCAAATATACCACTCCAGGGCATATATACCATCTTGGGCATATATATCACTCCAGGGCATATATACCACTCCAGGGCATATATACTACTCCAGGGCATATATACCACTCCTGGGCACATATACCACTCTTGGGCATATATACCACTCCAGGGCATATATACCACTCCAGGGCATATATACCACTCCAGGGCATATATACCACTCCTGGGCATATATATACCACTCCAGGGCATATATACTACTCCAGGGCATATATACCACTCCAGGGCATATATACCACTCCTGGGTACATATACCACTCCTGGGCATATATACCCACTTCTGGGTATATATAGCCACTCCTGGGCATATGCCCAAAGGACTCCATGCCAGACTACAGAGATGCTTGCATATCAATGTCCATTGCTGCTCTGGTCACAATGGCTAGAAAATGGAACCAGTTAGATATCTGCCAGCTCATGAAAGGGTCATGAAAATGTATATACAATGGGATTTTAATGCACTTTTTTTTTCTTTTTTGGGTTTTTCAAGACAGGGTTTCTCTGTGTAGCTTTGCACCTTTCCTGGAACTCACTTGGTAGCCCAGGCTGACCTCGAACTCACACAGATCCAGCTGGCTCTGCCTCCTGAGTGCTGGAATTAAAGGCCCGGCCACAATGGGATTTTATTCAGCTGTAAAGAAAGAAGAAATTGGGGCTGGAGAGATGGCTCAGAGGTTAAGAGCACTGGCTGCTCTTTCAGAGAAGGAAGGAAGGAAGGAAGGAAGGAAGGAAGGAAGGAAGGAAGGAAGGAAGGAAGGAAGGAAGAAATGGCCCAAGTAGATTTGTCGAAACTCTCATAACCAACAGTAGAAGGAATAATAAGACTTTAAGAAGACGATAGATGGGCTGGAGAGATGGCTCAGAGGTTAAGAGCACTGGCTGCTCTTTCAGAGGTCCTGAGTTCAGTTCCCAGCATCCACATGGTGGCTCACAGCCATCTATAAGGAGATCTGGTGCCCTCTTCTGGCATGCAGGAATACATGCAGGCAGAACACTGTATACATAATAAATAAATCTTTAAAAAAATGAGAAAGATGAAATTATGAAGCATGCAGGAAAATGAGTGGATCTGGAAAGTATAATATTGAGCAATGTGGCCCGAATTCAGGAAGATGAAAACTGCATGTTCTCGCTCTTTGTAGATCTTAGCTTATGATATACACATGTGTGAGAGCAGAAAGAAGTGCTGGGGCAGGGGAGGCAAAAGGACACACGTGACCTGAAGGTGGGCAGGAGACTGAAAGGGGAGGAGTTATGAGAGGGTATGGGAGCACGCGGGTGGGAGAGATGAGGAGAAAGAGAATCTGCTAAAACATCTTTTTGTTCAAAAATACCACAACTATAGATGATACCTTGTATGCTAATTTTAAAAATTCTAGCATAATTAACAAAATTTTCTGCGAAGATTGTCTACATAGAGATGCTAATCTTTTTATGTAGGGGTGCTTCAGAATGTTAGAATAGCAACAGACCGTGCTAAGGCCCAAGTATGGCCTTCCCCCATTTCCAGATGTGTTCCTACAGTCTCCTGGGAAACTCACCAACACGACATCGACTTTGTTTATACATCTTAGTTTTCTTCTGCAACCCATGTGACCCAGAGTTTCCTTTTCCTACATCAGAAGCTACGCTATGACCTCATTTACCCCCCAAACCGGGAGGGCTTAGTAATCCTTTGAGCTATAACCCCAGAAGCCACCCAAATCGTATATGGCTGTTGTAAAGACACTCTTGAGAAGGCCGCGCCCACACATGGGCATGCCTTATCCTTTCCCAGGGCACCCCACTTTAACTCTTGTGCTTAAATCCCTGTTAAAATATGCTCTTGTTAGACACCAGCCCTGCTTTGTGCTGACTTTTCCGAAATTCTTACCAGTGTAGAATTTTGTCTTTGGGCTGGAGAGATGACTCAGTGGTTAATGGCTCTGGCTGCTCTTCCGGAGGACTGGAGTTTGAATTCCAGAATCCACATGGGAGCTCGCAACCAACCATCTGTAATTCCAGTGCCAGGGGATCTGATGCCCTCTTCCGGACTCCCAGGCACTGCAGACACATGCTGTACACACAGACACAGGAGGATGAAGCACCCATCCTCATAAAATTAACTACATCTTTAAAAAGAGAGAGAGAATTAGCGGAGGCTGGAAACAGTTCTCCAGGCTGTGATAGGCAGTGCCATGGAGCTGTGTCTGTGGCTCCTGCTTCGTTCTCTGCGACAAATCTGGCCACCTGCAAAGATGGCAGTGCAGACCTCTAGAGCAGTGGTTCTCAACCTGTGGGTCGAGACCCCCCTTTCCCCAGAGTTGCCTAAGGCCATCAGAAATCATGAATATTTACACTATGATTCATAACAGTAGCAAAATTACAGCTATGAAGTAGCAGTGAATATGATTTTACAGTTGGGGGTCACCACAACATGAGGAACTGTACTAAAGGGTTGCAGCATTAGCAAGGCTGAGAACTGTTGCTCTAGAGAGCTCCCCCCAAAGTTAAACAGTTGAATTACCAACAGCTGAGAAAGTCAGGCGAGACTGTGCTACCAGCTCCAGTATAAGGAGTGGGAAGCTATGTTAAAGCTGGAAGGAAGGAGTTTCTTACTTCACCTCTCTCCCAGCCCCAAACCCAGCACTCAGTCTTATACCCAAGTGTCTCTTGTTTTCTTAGTAATAAGGAAATTGGGTCTCTGTAATATCAGTAATTGGGAAATGGATGCCAAAGACACGAGTTTCTATAGTCATAGGCCAGCCTGGTTTACATAGCGAGGTGCTGCCTCAAACCAAACATCACAAAAAGTTACAAGGCTCAGATAAGATCTTACTGTTCCAGTCGGGGTGGGTGGGGTGGGGGTGGGGGTGGTGGTGGTGGTGGTGGCGGCACATGCCTTCAATCCCAGCACTTGGGAGGCTGAGTTAGGCAGATCTCTGTTCAAGGCCACCCTGGTCTACAGAGCGAGATCCAGGACCAAAACTACAAGGAGAAACCCTGTCTTGGAAAAACCAAAAAAAAAAAAAAAAAAAAAAACCAAAACAAAAATCTCACTATTTCATAATTTATTATTATTAACGTGTGTGTGTGTGTGTGTGTGTGTGTGTGTGTGTGTGTGTGTGTGTACATGTTGACATTCTTGGAAGTCAGAGGCAGACATCTGTCCCACTCTGTAACTCTCTGCCATTTCCTCACTGAACTTGGAGCTAGCTTGGGGGTCAGAAGGCCCCACGGTGCTGGGATTATAGGTTAATGTGCAGTTTTTTTTTAATTTTTAATGATGGAAATAAAAATATACCTAAAAGCAAAGCTTCTGGAAAAACTATTTGTTCTTTGTCCTGGCCGGCCAGCGGAGTCTTCAAGGGGGACCTGAAGGGAACTGGCGAATGAGAGGGACAAGAGATACAAAGAATGAGAGCAAGACAGGATGTCTGATCAAACTCCAAAATTTTATTTTCCTTTTTAGGCGTATATAGATGGGGGCAAAGTGGGGTGCAAGCAGGGAGTGGACTTTAGTCATGGGTTGTTCGGCCAGCAGGGAATGTTGCCCTGGGGGTTATCTATCTACTCTTGCCTAACTGCCTAATTGCCTAACTGCAGCTGGGTCACCTGATTTCTGAGAAGAGGTTCTGGTATTTGTGAGAAGAGGTTGCTATGGAGACTTAAGCAGGGCCTAGATCTAAGAAAAGAGGAGAGAAGCCCAAATATGGCAGCATGTGAGCCAAGGGTCACTTAGGCTTATGGCTCCCGTCAGTTCTTCCCTGTCTTGTATCATCCCTCAAACTCGACCCTGGCCTTCCGTCTGGCCTTGTGTTTCAGGGCTGGGTCTCTGAAGACATCTTTGTTGACAACACTTTTGTCCAAGGGTTTATCCACAGAGTACCTTGTGGGCAGGAGGTGACTGTAGTTATAAACTTTCACAAAGGACTTGATCTTTGATCTCTTGGCAATTTTCTTCATGCCCATGGCCGCTGTCACTTTTCGGGGATAGCGGTCAGTTCCCGTCACCAGGGCATGTCTGTAAGGGAGGTCTGAAATGCCATCATCAGTGTTCTTCACCATGACAGCTTTGCATCTGGAGTAGCGTCCAGCCAGGACCGGCACCACTGTCCCGGGTTTCACGAACTTGCCCATTTTGACAGTAAGCAGCCAGTACCTAGCGGAAAGGTGGTGCAGGTTTTCATGTGGGTCCTGGGATTCAAATTCAGATCCTCATACTTGCACAGTGAACACTCTTACCCACTGAGCCCTTCTAACCCATTTTAGCTTGGCCCTAAGTAAATGATAGAAATGAAACCTACTTTCCATGTTGAATTTCCTCAGCTCTGATTTTTCTCACAATCTCTGTCCTTCATGTGGGTGGCATCATGTCAGGAAGGTGGACTGATGACTCTTGTCCAGCTTAGTCTCTTAGTGGCATGCTGTTCACTGAGTGAAGCCACAGCAAGAAAAGCCTGTGCTGGCAAAGTACTGGGATCGAAGGCTTAAGATTGCCATTGATAATATGTCCGACTTCCACATCCATCAAGACTGGATTGTTAAATGATCTTTTGTTTTATTTGGAACCAGTTCACTTTTACAAATGTGTTTGTTCTCCCAAGGAAAGCAATAACTTAACCCCACATGGGTTCTCTTGTGCAGTGTTGTGCCAGGCTGGTCCCCTTTACACATATGGAGTGTTTCTTTCCTCCCTTGAGTATGGTGCCTGGCTCATTCACTCTAAAGATGGAGAGACGTGCACACCCCTGTTTTTCTTTGCACCTCTCTCTGTTCTTCTTTTTCCTCTCTCGCCTTTCACCACCCTGCAGAGTCTTTAAGCCGAGACTGGAGCCACACTGCTTAATGTCTTTCTGTGAATGGATCCCTGAGTACATTCTGCAGTGAAATTTCCCAGTGAAATCGAATCCGAGGGCTCTGTAGGTCTGTTTAATCTATAGCTGCTCTTGGCTCCTGCTATCAAAACGAGCATTTTAAAAATTGGTCCAGTAGATGATGTGAGCAGAAGATTGCCATCCAGCTGAGGCTCAGCCAGCCTGAAAAACCATCTCCCTTGCAAAAATAGTTTCCATCCGAGGGACAGGAAGCACTAGGAGCTCTGGGTCACATGTTAATTTTGCGCAAAAAGATTGATCTTCACACCCCATGATTTTATGGAGGCTCAGATTAATTCCATCTCCACGAGAGCGACGTGGGTTTCAGGAGAATTTGCATACCTTTTCTGTTTTCCTGCTTTTTATGGATGTATGTGAGAATCGTTGCGGTTTAAATGTTTAATTCTGGGAGAACCAGAGTGATGGAGAGCTGGGATTGCTTTACGACTGACCATCTGTTCTCCTGTTTGTCTTCTGGGATGAGCCCCTGAGTCCAAACTTCCTACCTGCCCTCTTTAGGCTCTGATTTAGTGCACAGCAGAAAGAGGTGGACCACATGTGGTGTGTGTGTGTGTGTGTGTGGTTAACCCAGGGAGGCTCACTTGCTATTCTATTTATTTAATCTATAAATTAAGCTTTAGATTTATTTTTATTATATTTAATTATGTGTCTCTGTGGAAGTATGTGCTTGCCAGTGCAGGCCAAAGGCATCTGATCCCCTGGGGCTGGAGTTCACAGGAGGCTGTGAACCACCCACTGTGGATGCTGGGAACTGAACTCAGGTCCTCTGTAAGAGCATCAGGCACTCTTAACCATGGAGCCATCTCTCTGGACCCGTAGAATTAATTTAATTTAATTTAATTTAATTTGTGTTTGTGTGTGTGTGTGTGTGTGTGTGTGTGTGTGTGTGCACCCGCAGAGACTAGAGCAGGAAGTTGGGTGTCTTTCTCTATTGCTCTTTGCTTTATTGCCTTGAAATATGGTCTCTCACAAAGCCATGAGCTCACCATTTGGCTAAGTTGCCTGGACAGCAAGCTCTCGATCTGCCTGTCTTTGTCCCCCAGTACTGGGATTACAAGCATGTGCAGCCAATCCTGGCTTCTTCCATGGGTGCTGGGGATTCAGACGCAAGTCCTGTGCTTGCACAGGAAGTGCTCTTCTTCACTGAGCACGTCCTCAGCTCTCAGTGCTGTTTTTGAAATGATACCTTTCTACTGAGTTTTAGATCAAGCGATCTAAAACTATTTGCGTCCTGTGTGCAAACCACGCGGTAAAGTGTTTGTGAGTAGGGGAAAGGTGAAATGAAGTTCCCTGTTCCACAGACACACGACCACAACTAGCCGGGACTCCTTCCACTTAGTTCATGTCTTTAGAATACATTTAAATCTGGCCATGGTGGCGCACACCTTTAATCCCAGCACTCCAGAGTCAGAGGCAGGTGGATCTCTGTGAGCTTGAGGCCATCCTGATCTACATCAAGAGTTCCAGGATAACCAGGGCTACATAGAGAGGTCCTATCTCAAAACAACAACAACAACAAAAATATTCACAAAATTAAAAAATTTCATTTTACTTATAAACTTTATTTATTATGCACACATACTGTGGTGTCTGTGTGGAGGTCAGTGGGCAGCTTACAAGACTTAATTCTCCCCTTCCACTCATGTGGATCCCACGCATCCTTACCTGCTGAGCCATCTCTCTGGCCCTTAGGAATATTTTGTAAGTCAAACAAGAGGAATAATCTGATTTCTATGTCTCTTACTTACTGGGGCACATGGCAGGCTGCGGGCTTTCACTCCAGGCATGTGAGCACCGAGAGGAGACAGCTGCTCAATGCTGTAAAAGAGATGGCTCCTCCATCTGGCTTGCAGTATGGCTGCGGGTTGCTGCAGATCTGGATTGGATGCCAAACTCCTGTAAGTTTTCAAATACGACTGTCTTTTTAGTCCTAAAACACAAACTGCTGCCCTACACACCAGGGAATTAAGCTCGTATACAACAGAGAGAAGCAATACCATTCTTATTGAAACTTTTCTCCACTTAATTTCTGAAGATAATTTTTTGTTGCTGTTTAGAAACCTCACGAATCTGGCAACAATAGAAAAACCTGAGGACTGGTTCAAGTTTAGGATGACATTGGAAAGAAAAATAATAGTGTTTGAATTGAAACTGGCCCAGTAAAGAAGGCCTAACATTTTAACCCTAGCATTCCATGGTTGAGAAAATTATCATTTTTAAATAAAACAATCCAGATTTTTGAGGTTTATAGTTTGTAGCAATTCCTATAATTCTGTGTCAGATTTTGTAAAACCGTATATATGTCACATGTCATAGGAATTTACTTTCCATATCCAGATAAAAGCCATGATGTCATTGAATGTGTTGACTCATTAAAAAATATTATACATGGAGGGGATCTCTAGGTAGCTGACATAATGCTGTGCATCCAAATAGAAATTTCTCCACAATCTCCAAAAACAATAAAGACTAACAAGGAAAAAAAAAAAAACAAAACAAGCCAGATCCATATAAATGTCATGTGCACATCATTTACTGAGAAGGAGCTTCCTGTTTCAGATAAGGAAGTAGCTGAAAATGAACGCACAGCTTGGACAGAACTTTCTCTGAAGATCCTTTAAGGCCTGGTGTAGAGCTGAACACTGGGAAGAGCCTACAAACACTTCACAGGGGGTGTTGGACCAGAGAGAAAATTGGGATGGAGGAGAAGGCCCAGCAGATGAAGGTGCTTGCTGGGCGAGCCGGGGAACTGAGTTTGGTGGGAGAAAACTGACTCCTTAGTGCTGTCCTTCGGCCACACACTTGCTGGGGCACGTACGTGCCCACCCCCCTCACCTCTCCCCCACCTCTCTTCTCTCTCTGTCTCATACACACATACACACACACACACACACACACACACTAAAGTTTTGTTTTTTTGGGACAGGGTTTCTCTGTGTAGCCCTGGCTGTCCTGGAACTCACTCTGTAGACCAGGCTGGCCTTGAACTCACAAAGATCCACCTGCCTCTGCCTCCCAGTGCTAGGGTTAAAGGTGGGTACCACCACCACCTGGCTAAAGTTGTTTTTTGTTTTGTTTTGTTTTTGTGTCTTGTTTTTCTTAAATCTTAACTGAAACAGAAACTCCACCTAAGTGAAACAAAACAAAACAAACAAAATGAAAAGCTTGGAAGAACATGAAAACCAGCAATGGTGGAAGCAAAAGTGGAAGTCGCCGTCTCCTGGACGTGCATTTTGGCTGTTAACCAGCATCTTGAGAGCTTGCCAGATGCTCAGCAGTCGAGCGCGTACTCTTCTTGCAGAGAACTTGAGTTTGGTTCCCAGTGCCCACATCAGGTGCTTCACAATTGCCTGTAACTCCAGGAACCCAATGCCCTCTTAGGGATTTTATGGCGTCTGTACTCACAGACACATAACTAAAAATAAAATCTTAAAAAGAGTGAAATGTGGGGACTAATTTTCTACCACTGCAGAAAAGGATTACGAAGTACAGAAAGTGGGCTGGGGAGATGGCTGGCTGGAAAAAGTGCTTGCTGCCCAGGACCGGTGAGCTGACCTCCATTCCGGGAATCCTGTAAGAAGCTGGATATGGTGGTGACATCTGTGACCCAGCTCTGTGTGGTGAGGAGCAAGGGAGAGTCAGGAGAATCAGCTAGTGCTGTGGTAGAAACAAGAGAGACCTGGCCTTAAAAAAATAGATGGGACAAAAAAAAAAAAAAAAAGCCGGGCAGTTGTGGCGCACGCCTTTAATCCCAGCACTCGGGAGGCAGAGGCAGGCGGATCTCTGTGAGTTCGAGGCCAGCCTGGTCTCCAAAGCGAGTTCCAGGAAAGGCACAAAGCTACACAGAGAAACCCTGTCTCGAAAAACAAAAAAAAAAAAAAAAAAAAAAGTTGGGTAAACTGAGTCCTGCAAAATTTTCCTCTGACCTCCACATGTATGCTGTGATACACACACACACACACACACACACACACACACACACACACACACACACACATATACTAATAAATCTTAAAAGCTCTAGACTGCAGGGCTGGGGAGGTCGCTGTCAGTAAACAAGTGTTAGGACCTGAGTTGATCACTAGCACTGATGTCAAGGATCTGAGTGTGGTGACACACGCTTTTAATCCCAGCTCGTGGGCAGCAGGAGCTGGGCTAGCCTCAATGGTGACCCAGTCCAGGTCCTAGTGAGATGCTCTGTCTCAAAAAACAAGGGCGCAGCTGCTAAGGAATAACGTGGAGGTTAATCTCTGGCACATATACCTGCACACTCAGGAATGACGTCTGAGGCTAGCCTCTGTCATACACATCTGCAGACAGGAAGGATGCCCGAGGCTAACCTCTGACATATGACCCTGCACAGACAGGAAGGATGCCCGAGGCTAGCCTCTGGCATACACATCTGCAGACAG